TTAGGCCTTCTTGCCTTCCATGCCAGATCATTCCTTGGTCACAAATTACCACTGCTGAGCAGTTACAATTTGAATTTCCCCTTCGGTGGTGTTTGGTAATTCTTAATCCTTCTCTTCCTCATTGTTATAATCCTATCATTCTGACATGTCACAGAATATATAGGTGTTCATGTTTCCTGTTTGCTGAAATTTGACATAAGTTAACCTTCTCAAGCATGTTGAGGCCAATTTTTTTAGTAGTTCTCTGACCAAAACTTTGAGAATTTCTTTGAAACAAAGCCCAGATCTGATGTGATGCGGCAGCCCAAAACAAAAGCAAGTAGTGCCTAGAACTTCCTGAAGCAGCTTTTATCTAGAGATGGTGTGGTGGGTTGACCTTGCCTGGCTGCCAGACACCCACTCAGCCACTCTCTCACTTCCCCTCCTCAGCAGGACAAGGGGAGAAAATAAGATGGAGAAGCTTGTGGGTCGATAAAGACAGGGAGATCATTTCCCAATTACCATCACAGGCAAAACAGCCTTGAGTTGGGGAAAATTAATTAAATTTATTGCCAGTTAAAAATGGAGTAGGATGGTGAAAAACAAAAACACCTTCCTGCCTCCTCCCCCTCTTTCCCAGGTTCAACTTCACTCCTTCATTCCTGACTCTTCTACCTCCCTCCCTCCCAGTGGTGCAGGGGGAATGGGGAATGGAGGGTTGTGTTTAGTCCATAACAGTTCCTCTCTGCTGCTCCTTCCTCCTCACACTTTTCCCCTGCTCCAGCGTGGGTCCTCTTCATGGGGTGCAGTCCTTAAGGAAAAAAAATCTGCTCCAGCATGGGCTCTCCGCAGGCTGCAATTCTTTCAGAAAATATCCAACTGCTCTGACGTGTGGGGTCCTCCATGGGCTGCAGGGGAATGTCTGCTCCAGTGCCTGGAGCACCTCCTCCCCCTCCTCCATCTACTTTGATGTTCACAGGGTTGTTTCTCACACTTTTTTCCTCACTACCCTTTCTTAAATATGTTTTCACTGGGGCATCACCAACTACACTGATTAGCTCAGCTTTGGCCAGTGGTGGGTCCATTGCCAAGTTGGCTGGAATCGGCTGTGTTCAGCAGAGGGCAGCCCCCTGTCTCTTTTCACAAGAGACCACCCCTGCAGCCCCCCCCC